GGGTCTGGGTCGAACCCACGACCTCCTGTGTACCAGGCGAGGTAGTTAACATCTCCTAGCCACAGTGGCGTCAGGGTCTGGGTCGAACCCACGACCTCCTGTGTACCAGGCGAGATAGTGAACATCTCCTAGCCACCGTGGCGTCAAGGTCTGGGTTGAACCCACGACCTCCTGTATACCAGGCGAGGTAGTTAACATCTCCTAGCCACCGTGGCGTCAGGGTCTGGGTCGAACCCACGACCTCCTGTGTACCAGGCGAGGTAGTGAACATCTCCTAGCCACCGTGGCGTCAGGGTCTGGGTCGAACCCACGACCTCCTGCGTACCAGGCGAGGTAGTTAACATCTCCTAGCCACCGTGGCGTCAGGGTCTGGGTCGAACCCACGACCTCCTGTATACCAGGCGAGGTAGTTAACATCTCATAGCCACCGTGGCGTCAAGGTCTGGGTCGAACCCACGACCTCCTGTGTACCAGGCGAGGTAGTTAACATCTCCTAGCCACCGTGGCGTCAGGGTCTGGGTCGAACCCACGACCTCCTGTGTACCAGGCGAGGTAGTTAACATCTCGGCACCGCGGCAGCCCCAAGCGCCCCCCGGCCATCCACGCGTTGCTCTTTCCACGTCGGCGTAAGTCTCCCCCCACGAGCGCCCCCCCGCCCGGGCACACTCACCGGCTCGATGATTGCGGGCTCCCCCTTCTGTCCCTTCTCGCCGCGACCTCCGTCGTACCTCTGAGGGGGCGACAGCGCAGGCAGAGGTGGGGGGGGGGCGGGGGGGCGTGGGCGGAGGGGGGGGCGAGGGAGATTGAGAGCGACGCTCGTGACAACATTCATGGCACGATAATAATGAGGAGAGTAACAGAAGGGCTCAACACTCCACCACGGGGCTCATAGCTCCACTAGAGGGCAAATAGCTCCACCACAGGGCTCAGAGCTCCACTAGAGGGCACATAGCTCCACCACAGAACACATGGCTCCGCCACAGGGCACATAGCTCCACAATAGAACACATAGCTCCACCACAGGGCACATAGCTCCACAATAGAACACATAGCTCCACCACAGGGCACATATCTCCACCACAGAGCACATAGCTCCACAATAGAACACATGGCTCCACCACAGGGCACATAGCTCCACAATAAAACACATTGCTCCACCACAGGGCACATAGCCCGACCACAGAGCACATGGCTCCACCACAGAGCACATAGCTCCACAATATAACACATGGCTCCACCACAGGGCACATGGCTCTACCACGGGCACATAGCTCCACCAGAGGGCTCACAGCTCCACCAGAGGGCTCGTAGCTCCACAACAGAACACATAACTCTACCACAGGGCACATAGCTCCACCAGAGGGCTCACAGCTCCACCAGAGGGCTCGTAGCTCCACAACAGAACACATGGCTCCACCGCAGGGCACACAGCTCCACCAGAGGGCTCACAGCTCCACCAGAGGGCCCGTAGCTCCACCGCAGGGCCGCGGAGCTCGCCCCTCACCGAGGAGGTGTCGGACTCGACGGGCAGCTCGACGACGCGGTGCCCCGGGTCGTCCGGGTCGTCCGTGTCGGGCGCCAGCGAGTAGTCGAGGTCGTCGATTTCAAAGACTTCGCCGCCGTACTCGGCGTAGTCCACGCCGCCATAGTCCTTGCCGGGGACGCGCCCGGCGGGCTGCCTGCCGTCTGGGCGGGTCGGGGTCTGCGGGGGTGGGAGGGTGGGGGGGTGGGGGGGTGTGGGGGGGTGTGGGGGGGTGGGGGGCGGTGGAGAGGTGGATGGGGAGGTGGGTGTGGAGGTGGGTGGGGGGTGGTGGAGAGGTGGATGGGGAGGTGGGTGAGGAGGTGGGTGGATGGAGGGTGGGTGGGGAGGTGGGTGGGGGGTGGTAGGGAGGTGGATGGGGAGGTGGGTGGGGGGTGGTGGGTGGAGAGGTGGATAGGGGGGTGGGTGGGTGAGGGGTGGGTGAGGGTGGCGGGGTGGGGGGGGGTATTGGGGGTGATGGGGGGTGGTTTGGGGGGTCGATGGGTTGGTGGGTGTTGGGGATGGGGGGGTGGGTGGGGGGGGTGGGTGGATGGAGGGTGGGTGGGGGGTTGGGGGGTGGTGGGGAGGTGGGTGGGTGGGGAGGTGGGTGTTGGGGGTGGGGGGGTGGGTGGGGGGGGGGTAGGTAGGGAGTGGTGGTGCAGTGGTTAGCGCTACGCTGCGCTATGAACCCGGCGACCCGGGTTCGATTTCCACTCACGGCCAACACCGGTGACGACTATCTGAACCGGCCATGGGCCTCCCCTAGGTCGACTCAGCCTCAAATTAGTACCTAGTGAGGTGTGTAACCATCGCTACTGGGGAGACAAAGGCGGTCGAGCGTGGTGCTGGCCACCCACCCGCTCACGTACCGTTCCGGTCTTCAAAGGTGCTCGCTAACAGCACTTGCCCCAACAGTCTGTTAAGGCTATATGGGGGATCTTTGTTTTTCTTTGTATTCCCCGTGTGTGCGTGCGTGTGTGTGTGTATTCTCCGTGTGCGTGTGTATTCTCCGTGTGCGTGTGTATTCTCCGTGTGTGCGTGCGTGTGTGTATTTTCCGTGTGTGTATTCTCCGTGTGTGTGTGTGTGTGTATTCTCCGTGTATGTGTGTATTCTCCGTGTGTGTGTGTGCATGTGTGTGTGTTTTCTCCGTCTGTGTGTGTATTCTCCGTGTGTGTGTGTGTGTGTATTCTACGTGTGTGTGTGTATTCTCCGTGTGTGTGTGCATGTGTGTGTGTATTCTACGTGTATGTGTGTGTATTCTCCGTCTGTGTGTGTATTCTCCGTGTGTGTGTGTGCATGTGTGTGTGTATTCTCCGTGTGCGTGTGCGTGTGTATTCTCCGTGTGTGTGTGTATTCTCCGTGTGTGTGTGTATTCTCCGTGTGTGCGTGTGTATTCTCCGTGTGTGTGTATTCTCCGTGTGTGTGTGTGTATTCTCCGTGTGTGTGTGTGTGTATTCTCCGTGTATGCGTGCGTGTGTATTCTCCCTGTGTGTGTGCGTGTGTGTATTCCCCGTGTGTGTATTCTCCGTGTATGCGTGCGTGCTTGCGTGCGACCGCGAGCCTACGCTGAATCTGTGCCCCGCGCCGCCGTAGTCGCTGGAGTCCGTGGAGTACTCGTCGAATCCCGTGTCGAGCTCTTTCCTCGTCACGTAGTCCTCCTCAAAGACGTCCGGCAAGCCCTGCTGCTCCCCGCCGGACTGACACGAAAGAGCAGCGAGCGGTGGCCTCCATCATCACCATCATCATCATCACCAGCATCATCATCACCGTCATCATCACCGTCACCACCACCGTCACCACCACCACCGTCGCCATCACCACCGTTGTCACCATCGTCGTCACCATCGTTACCATCATCACCATCACCGTTATCACCATGTCATGAAGACCACAGTCGTGAACAAGATCGTCATGTCACCATGACGTCATCATCACGTGTGTGTCCCCTCCTCCCCTCCTCCCCCCCCCCCACGGCACACCTGTGAAGTGCGGTTGTTGAGCGCCGTGAAGGTGGGTTTGGGCCAGTCCCGGTCGTCTTCGTCGACGAAGCGGCCGTACTCGGGCAGCACCTCCTCCTCGCTGGCGCTGGGAGCCGCGCGCGCCGAGGAATCGTCCTTGCGAGACAGACGACGAGGTTCAGGCGACGAGGCTCAGGCGAGGAGGTTCACCCATTCCATTCCGCCCGCAAATTCGTCGGTCGGTCGGTCGGTCGGTTCGTTCCAGCGTTGCCGCACGGACGCAGCTCGAGTGGCGACCGCGATCGCTACGACCGCGGTCCCCACCACCGGTCCCCACCACCGGTCCCCACCACCAGTCCCCACCACCGTGGTCGCAGTCGCTACCACGGCCATCGCGTCACAATAACCGCGATCGCGTCACATTAACCGCGATCGCTTCACATTAACCGCGATCGCGTCACATTCACCGCGATCGCGTCACATTAACCGCGATCGCGTCACAATAACCGCGATCGCGTCAAATTAATCGCGATCACGTCACAATAACTGCGATCGCGTCACATTAACCGCGATCGCGTCACAATAACCGCGATTGCGTCACAATAACCGCGATCACGTCACAATAACCGCGATCGCATCACATTAACCGCGATTGCGTCACAATAACCGCGATCGCGTCACATTAACTGCGATCGCGTCACATTAACCGCGATCGCGTCACATTAACCGCGATCGCGTCACATTAACCGCGATCGCGTCACATTAACCGCGATCGCGTCACATTAACCGCGATTGCGTCACATTAACCGCGATCGCGTCACATTAACCGCGATCACGTCACAATAACCGCGATCGCGTCACATTAACCGCGATCGCGTCACAATAACCGCGATCGCGTCACATTAACTGCGATCGCGTCACATTAACCGCGATCACGTCACATTAACCGCGATTGCGTCACAATAACCGCGATCGCGTCACAATAACAGCGATTGCGTCACAAGAACCGCGATCGCGTCACATTAACCGCAATCGCGTCACATTAACCGCGATCACGTCACAAGAACCGCGATCGCGTCACAATAACCGCGATCGCGTCACATTAACCGCGATTGCGTCACAAGAACCGCGATCGCGTCACAAGAACCGCGATCGCGTCGCTACCACCACGATCGCGTCACATTAACCGCGATCGCGTCACAATAACCGCGATCGCGTCACAATAACCGCGATCGCGTCACATTAACCGCGATCGCGTCACGATAACCGCGATCGCGTCACAATAACCGCGATCGCGTCACATTAACCGTGATCACGCCACATTAACCGCGATCGCGTCACATTAACCGCGATCGCGTCACAATAACTGCGATCCTCGTCACAATAACCGCGATCGCGTCACAATAACCGCGATCGCGTCACATTAACCGCGATCGCGTCACAAGAACCGCGATCGCGTCACAAGAACCGCGATCGCGTCACATTAACCGACGATCGCGTCGCTACCACCACGATCGCGTCACTTATTGATTCGTTAATTGGGTCTACGGGCCTCCACGTACGTTTACAGCTCTCCCGAGTGATTCTATGCGTCCCTGTGCAAGCCTACCGCACTCCACGTAAGTCTACGGTGGCGAGGGTTGGGACGGGCTTCACGGGAGTACCTGACATGCCAATCCGAAGGTCGTGAGTTCACATCCTGGTTGGGGGGGGGGGGGGTGGGGTGGAGTTGACTCTGCCCATCATCCCTCCGGGTCGATAAAATTTGGACCGCTCTGTGGGGAAATCAAATGACCTATGGATGGACTCACCCCTGCCATAGGAATGTGGAATATCAACCACTGGCTCAGGGCTCTGAACAGGCTACGAGCATCAATGCCTCAACGCTCATTCAAGCAGTTGATTCACTGTGCCTTTTGAGTATCGAGTCAGCATCTGTAAGTCATCGGAAGAAAGAATAAAATAAGAACGTGATCGGTGCAGAGGCTCCCACAAGGCCACGCGAGAGGGGCGTGCGGCACAGCGGTGGCGCCGGCTATCGTAGAGCGGCGGTGGTCGTGTCGCCACGGTTCTCTGCGGTGAGCAGCGACGTCTTTAAACACAACCGCGCTGCCGCTTCTGCTGCTGCTGCTACGCCTCTCTAAGTAAAATTGACGGCGAGCTGCTCACGCTTCCCGAGACTCAGCGGTGAACGGGACACCAACCCACCCACCCACCAGCCTGCTACTTGCTAGACGTCTCTGAACGGGGGAACGGGGCCAAGCGGTCAAACGTTGGGTCTGCACGTTCTACTGAACGTCGGCCGGGTCAGGTTCCCTTTCGATATTCTTCACGGCCGGCATCGTCAGTCGGCGACCGAACCTCCGCTCTGCGATCTCGCGCTGAGACGTCGAAACGAGACTGCCCACCGCTTCCTTACTTTCAATATCCCCCCCCAAACAAATCAATCGGCACATTCGCCCGACGACGTTGACAACTGCATCTGCCCGGCTCTATCGCTGGGTGGTGGAGGGCGGAGGACTAAGCAGCTGACGTCGCTCACTGCGAATCGAACGGACGCGGCTCGATGCGCAGCGCTCAGCGATGCCGCTGCAAGTGCGTTGGCACCGCGATTTGTCTATTAGCAAAATTGCGTGAAAACACTTTTTACCTTTACGGATTTTTGGTGACCAGGCTGAGACCATCAACTCACTGCACTTGAGAACCCGGTTTCAATCACAACTCAGTCTATGTGAGCCTATGGGTCTCTGTGTGAGTCTATGGGTCAATGTGTGAGTCTATAGGTCTCTGTGTGAGTCTCATGGGTCTCTGTTTGAGTCTATAGGTCTCTGTGTGAGTCTCATGGGTCTCTGTTTGAGTCTATGGGTCTCCGTGTGAGTCTCTGTGTGAGTCTATGGGTCTCTGTGTGAGTCTAATGGGTCTCTTTGTGGGTCTCTGCATGAGTCTATAGGTCTCTGTGTGGATCTCTGTGCGAGTCTATAGGTCTCTGTGTGAGTATACGGGTCTCTGCGTGAGTCTATGCATCTCTGTGTGAGTCTAAGAGCCTCTGTGTGAGTCTATAGGTCTCTGCGTGAGTATACGGGTCTCTGCGTGAGTCTACGGGTCTCTGTGCGAGTCTAAGAGCCTCTGTGTGAGTCTATGGGTCTCTGTGCGAGTCTACGCTCTGTGCGAGTCTATGGGTCTCTGTGTGAGTATACGGGTCTCTGCGTGAGTCTATGGGTCTCTGCGTGAGTCTACGGGTCTCTGTGCGAGTCTAAGAGCCTCTGTTCATGGGTCACCGGTGACCCATGAACCCACAACGACGTGGAACTCGAGCGTTTATCCGTGGGCAGCTGCAAAAACCCTGGACTTGAACACAGGCTCATGAGCAGGCGCCGCTGCCTCGGCACAAAAATCCTTGACTTTCGGCGCGTTTTGGCAAAAAAAAACACTCCGAGGATTCCATCGCCGGACGAGGCAAGTCGCCAAGGCGACTTGTTTCGAGTTTTCGGCGAAGACGCGAGCGCGCGAGCGTGTGAGCGATCCGCCGATCGGATTCTCTTTGTTGCCGTTCGTCTTGTCGGAAAAGCGCGGCGAACCGTCCGTCCGTCCGTCTGGACAAGGGATCCTCTCCGGGGGACCGCGCGTGGGGGTGGGTGGTGGCGAACCGGGTCGGGTCAACGCGAACTCCTCCGTAAGCCCGGAGTTTGATCGCCGTACGGGCGGGGGAGAGGGGCATGCGCTCAATAACATCGGGAGCACCCCCCCCCCCCCCCCACACACACACACCCCAAATGCGTTTCCGAAACATCTGCACGGCCTACCCGGCGTGGCCGGATTCCAAGCATTAAAACATTGGAAAATTGCTGCGGTAATTTTTTTTATATATATAAAATAATTGTTATATGTAGTAATAATAATAATCCTGAGTACTTGAGTATCCTAGTGGGTGTTCCAGTTTCGCTACCCGCGTCAAAAAAAACTAAAATGTAAAGTCAGCCTACCGTTTAATTTGAGACAATTTCGCTCGGTAACCCGTCGATACGACTACAAGGGTCGAACATTTCGTCAGAACACTCTTTAAGTCACTCAGTCTCTACAACAACAAAAAAACAGAGCGCGTCCGTCAACAACTCCCCGTGTGTGTCGGTTTTATTCTTTGTAAGCGATTTGTTCACCTTTCTTATAGTTCGCATTGTATATCGTGCTTTTTTTAATCGGTTGCTGTTGTAACGTTCTGACCCTGTGCCCCCCCCCGCCCGCCCCCACCCCCCCTGACTGGGCATTTGTCAAAAAGAGCTTCATGGCTCATCTGATTGCTCCTCCTGCAGCGCAAGTGACAGATTCTGATTGCGAACGATCGGTGGGCGGTGCGGAAAGGGGGCGCTTGACATCGCGACGTTCGTATCCCGCGGATCGTAACGTCGTCGGTGGCGCGTCGCGTTTAACCCCGCAATGTCGAACGGCAATCGAAGGGCCGAGCGCGAAGGAAGAAAACCACAACAACAACAACAACAGAGAAAACGCAGCAGAATATATACAAAAAACCACGAGAACGTCAGACACCACGATTCACAAACAACCCGAATACCACCACCACCACCACAACAACAACAACAATCTCTCTCCATGTAAAACCACAATCAAAAGAAACAAATGGAGCAGTGGACTGATGGTGAACAGAAGAGGTCATTTGTTGGAGGGAGGGGGGCAGGGGCGTGGGGCAGGGAGGGACAGGGCAGGGGGGGGGGGGGCAGGGCGGAGGCGGGGGTCAACAATTGCCAAGCAATGCCCCATGGTGCCACCGTGCCAGAGGCCATCGATCTGTTGGTAGAAGCAGATCGCCAGCTGGTGAGCGAAGGCAGCGGGCAGCAGATCCTCCCCCCAACCCCCCCTCGCCCACACCCCCCACCCCCCCCCCCGCCAGAGGTCGCAACGCTAAATGTCTCTGCGTACCTCCCCAGTATCCGTAGCGGTGCCGCTTAACGTTTCTTTTTGCAGTGGGCGGGCGAGCGGTGCAGCTGCTGGTTATATATTTATTTATGTTTACCCAGGAAAGCCCCCCCCACCCCCTACCCCCCGTTGCTGTGTCCTGCCAAGTTGCACTTCATTGCAGGAGTTGGCGATGCTGCCGCTGCCGCTGTTGCTGCTGCTGCCGCTGCTGCTCCCACTGCTGCTGCTACTGCTGCTCCCACTACTGCTGCTACTGCTGCTCCCACTGCTACCACTGCTGCCGCCACTGCTGCTGCCGCTGCCTGTAATCCCTGAGTGAGTCATTCACGGTGTCATTTTTCAGCAATTGTTGCGATGGTTTTGGCCAATACCGGTTACACTGTGTGTGCTTTTATTTTTAGCTATGGGAGGAAAGCGGAGAAGCCGGAGAAAAAAAAAACCCACGGGGAACAGTGGGTGGGGGTGTGGGCGGTGGGGGACACACAGAACTCCACGCAGAAAGGTGCCCGGGTTGGGATTCGAACTCGGGGACTCTTCTTGCTGCGAGCATTATCGCTGTGCCACTATCACCACGACCATCGCCCTGGGCTTCCCCGCTGCTGTTCGTCTTCGCGTCGTGAATCCAGATCAGAAGGGTTTTTAGTTTTAGTTTCGGTTCTCACCTCTGAAGGTGAATCTCCACTGTGCTAACTCGTCACCCGGGCCAGAACCAGCGCCTTTTGGAGCGAACGCACCGCGCGCTATGGACCCGGCGACCCGGCTTCGATTACGATGGCCAGCGCGGTGAAGTACGGTCGAACGACTCCCGGTGACCTGGTGTGGCCCGATCGCTGACTCGGGGCTACTAAACACGTAAATTAACATCGGCGTTGTTGGCGCAGGATCTGTGCTGAAGGTGCTCGTCATTTGCATGGGGCGTGTTGGCCCAAGTGGAAGCTTTCGCGGATTTGCTCACCGCAGAAGTTTGAGAGAACCAATATTGGAATCTGGGCATCATCATCAATCGTCCACAGAGAACAGCCTGTGATGTAAATGATAAATATAGAAGGCCATGTGTGCCCGGCGCCACGGGTCTAAATTTGCAACAGCGACACAAAATTGCAGAAATGACACCGCGAAACAATGACTCAATTGGGCAAAAGCTGCACGGCGGGCCACGCTCTTTGCCCCGCTACTGCAACGCCACTGCCGACCACGTCTGTCAAACACCGCGGCCAGTGCCGGATGAAGCTCGTGCGGGGCCTGTAGCATGATGTTATGAAGGGGCCCTAAATAAAATGAAAAAAACGTAAATATTAAAACGGAAAATTTGTACTTGCACAGTAAAGTAACTGTGTTTGTTTCATTTGCTACACAGCCAGATAATACGACAAATCGCTCACCTTAAACACCCGGTCGTTCATGAAAGTTAAGGGTGGTGCTGTACTATAGTAATTGAGCAAGTGCAGAATTGCTGAACCGGAATTTATAGCTCGAAAGCATTTAGCTCAGGGCCCTTGAAAGTGCGGGGCCCGTAGCCATGTGTAGCTACTTTTGCCACGAGGGTAATCCGGCACTGACCACGGCATCTTCCCCTACGTCGTGATGAAGATGGGTTGCCCCCTGCCACGCTGCGAGAACGACAGTGACCCCCAACACCACCGCAACATACCCACCCTTAAAAAGGTCCTCGTGATGCGGATTTAGATTTTTTTTTTTTAGCCCGGGACCCAAACGGCGATGCACTTCGCGGGTTAGATGGGAAGGGCGTGGGGAGAGGAGGAGGACGAGGAGGAGGTTAGCCAGCGGTAGCGGGGCACATGAGGGGAAAAAAACGCCATGTCCACTCCTTCTTGCCCGCTTGAGCATCGTTAGAGGAGTGTTGGTTAGTCCGTTAGCTGCTGCGGGAAAGGAGGCGGCGGAGGCATTAAGACGCGAGAGGAAAAGGGCAATGGGCAGGAGTAGGCGATAAAAAGGCTTACGGGTGTGTAAAATAAAAATGTATAAAGCAACGATGTAAGAATGACTCGTCGTACGGATCAAGCTGTTGCGCATGTGGTTAATACTGGAGGCGTGAAATCAGGCTCGCGATTAAGCTGCGATCGGATCAGCCTTCACGGATCCTTCCAAATCTGAGATCTTTGCTCGCGAAATCGGCCAACAGATCTCGATTTAGTGGGGGTTTTTTTGTCACGAGACCGATATTTTTTGCAGAAAGAAAAAAACGGATTAGAAAATATATCCAAAATAAAAAAAAATGTAATTGCTTACATTTTTTTATTATTTCGTGACTGCTGGCGTCGTGTTATATATATTTTTAAACTTAAGTATATATTTTTTAATCCAGTTTTCGTTTTTTTCCCCTCAAGAAATACTGCGGTCACGTTTCAAAATTCTACCTTCGGGCCTACATCATCGGCCTGGGCCTGGTTAGAGCCTCCGGCCTTGTCTTTCTTGCTCTTGTTCTTGTCCCTCTTTTTTTTCCTATCGCCCTTCTTAGCACCGTCCTTTCTGCCGCGTCCCTTCTTCGTCTTCCCCTCGTCGTTGTTGTCGTTAGATCCGCCACTCGCGGATGCATCCGACTTTAGCGCGGGCGCCTTGGGGTCGGAGGAGGAGCCCTGCTTGCTTTCCTGGCGGACATTACAAATTTGTAATTTTTATTTTTTGGTAAGTTTTTATAATTTTAGTCAAGGGTAAATTACATGTATTTGTTTTCCTTAGTCAGCGGATTTATCTTTTTTTATTTTGGGGGAGGGGGGGGGTGAAATTTGATAGGAAGGGACGTTTGGGCGCAGGAATGGGGAGCACAAACACGCACACTCAAAATAAACACAAATTGCGAGGTCAAATTGAGAACTTCAGTTCTTGCAATGAACCCGACTCTCGTCCACCGCAATCGTGTTCACCACAGTCGGGAGGAGGGGGTGCAAAGTGTGGGGTTGCACCATCCTGGAAGAGTAGGCCAAATAAACAAATGCCCTCTAAGAGAGAGGGGTGGAGTGGGGTGCATGGGTGCTCTCTGGCGCTGCCTCTCATTTAACGGAGGACCCTTTCCGTCGGCAGTGCCTGCGAGCTTGCGGTTGCAGGGGCTGCGCTTTCATCACCCTGCCTACCTGCGGCAACACTAGAAGCGCGTTAACGGCGCGGCAGCACCGCGTCGCGCTCACATTGTACCTACGAGGGGGGGGGTGGGGGAGGAGGAAGGGGCGGGGGTGGATGGGGAGGGCGGGGGGAGGAGGGGGGCGGGGGGTGGGGGAGGGGGGCAGAGGAGGGTGGAGGGTGGGGGGGAGGAGGAGGGGGGGGGGGGGGGGGGGGCGGGGGAAGAGACGGGGAGGAGGGAAAAACAACCTAGAAAGAGGGAAACAGGGAGAGCGGAACGACAGGAGGAGCAGTAGGGGAAGACCATGCCACCCAGGATCATGCCATCCCCCCCCCCCCCCAGGAGGTTCTTCAGCTGCGATAAGGGAGGCGGCGGGTACCTGAGTAAAAAAATATATTAAAATTATCGGGGAAGGGAGTTGGGTAATGATCAGTCAAAGCTTGGAGGGAGACATGGTGCGGAAGGGGGAGAAGGCCCCGGCAAACTGCTACCCAATTCGCGTGGAGCCCAGGTTTCTTAAACTCCGTACCGCACCTCTCCGCTATGCCAAACATCTACTATTTCCCGCGTTTTGCCGATTCTCCCGAGGCAAACTGCCAACACAAAGAACGTTTGCACGTTATTACCAATACACCTCTACAATCATATCAATAGTTGATCCTTTCAAGAGGGCGCTGGTGGATGGGGGGGGGGGGTGGTCCCTCCATTTTGATTGGTTGGCACAAGAGGTACACAGAGCTGAAGAAACCACTGCATGCGATTGTCAAACAACGAGAGAGATAACGCAAGCCGTCTCCATTATCCGTGCCGCAGCTTTCAGCGGTGCTTCGAGGGAGGAGTTGAATAAAAGCGACGGTGTTATATATATATATATATTCACGCGTATCGGTTCGACATCGTTCAACTACGAGCCGCCCCGCCACACTCGTCGAGGGTTCGGAGAATTGTGTGACCGCGAGCTCGTCGTCGGTGGGGGGGTGGGGGGTGGGGGGGGGGGGGGTGGTGTGAGCAAACCGGTTCATTAACTGAAAAGTTTAATATCGTTCTCAAATTTAAAATCACCACGTCGCATTTTTCCGCCCGTTTGGCGCGCGGGGTTCCGAAGTTTCGCTCCCACGCGCCGCCAGCCGCCGTCGGGAACGGCGGTGCACCTTCAAATCGTTCGGGAAAGCGGCTGGCGAAACGCCGTGCAGGAGCGCGCGGAGAAACCGGACTCGGCATCCTGCGGCTCCCCGGGGGGGCAAGGCGCAGAGCGAGCGGAACGCCGTCGGGACGCCGAGCTCCGGGCAAGGGTTCTATGCGGGGAGCCGTGCGCGTCGAACGAACGCGGCACCCAACGTAGCCTGTGCTTCACCTTGGGCCACCGGAAACAGATTGGAGACAAAAAGCGCCGCGGTTAGCGCTCAAGGTGAGACCCGGCTCTCAACGCTGGTCCTCCGGCACCATTGCCTCCCGGACAATCGAGGGTTCGACTAAATTATAACAATGGCCGACGCGATTCGAAAACAACTTTGTGTGGGCTGATATCATGCTCCACACTACCCTCTCACCCCCCCGTCTCTCCCTCCGCACCCCCACCCCACGACTCCGGTTACCTCTGTGCGCCTACTGGGTCCCTGCGGATTGGCCGTTCTCTCCCTGTCTGCTTCGACACCATCGTACGGTGTTCCGTACTCATACTCAAACCCGCCATCGCCGTACTGCTGCTCGTGCCGTGCACAGTGGTGGGGGGGGGGGGGGGGGTTTGTGGGGGCGGGGCGAGGGGTTCAGTTTGGGAGGGCAGAGGGAGGAGTAGAGATGATTAGAGGGAGGGGGAGGTTACGGGGTCAGTTGGTCATGAGGATCGGGGGGAGAAAAGTTGGACTCGCTCGGACACACACGTGCGACACACACGGAGGTTAGCGACGTTGGCCACCGTGTCAAACGCAGTTTCATTCGTGCGTCATCGGCTCATCCTCCCCGGTATTTTCCCCACGACAACAATTTTTTAGCCCGTGCCGTATCGGCCCTGCCCTTCTCTGTCATCTAAGATGGGAAGGCGCCGGCTGTGTTTCACAAACGGGTATAGCCTGCAGCTGGGGAGGGGGCGACGTTGCTAGTGTGGTGTTATCGAGGTGTTTTTTTTTTTACCTAGATAGCCACTTTGGTATCTGGGTAAAAATTTTTATCGAATTGGGAAAAATTTGGAGCGTGACGTCAGCACGCACACCCACGTGGTCTACACTTTTTCACCAATGACGTCACGGTGAGGGGGAGGGGGGGCATCTTTAACACCCCCCTATCCCCGCGTGGTATGTTTACGGTGGATACGCACTGCTGGGGGAATTAACCGGGGGGCGGCCGGTGGGGTCGGGACCCACCGCCCGCAAAGCCTCGAGCGGCAAAAACGCGCCGTCATTGGGCCGCGTCGCCAAATTTTCCGACGGATGCAAACATTTTTTTTTTAAACTTGCAAAAAACAAAAAAAAAACCCACGGGGGTCTCATTTGTGGATGGGCGCAACGACGGAAACGTCGTACAACACAACTCCTCTCTGACAACCGCCCTCTTTTCCACTGCATAACCGAGCCGTGCTGCCAACGTCGCACGTGAGTGGGCGATATTTGTCATCAGCCCGGCAACTCCCTGGCCCTGCTTGGGCCCCTGCCTGCCCTCCACACCTTGCCCCATCCCCCTCCCCCCCCCCACTCTCCTTGAGCCAAATTCAGATGACATCTTGCGAGGCCAGCGTAGCACGGTTCGGGTCTGGCCCAGCAGTGGAAAATAACCACCCGGCTCGGATGTACCGGCATCTCTCGTATGCGTAGTGGCTTTTTTCGTGCTTGAGTTTTTGTCCTTATCCCCCTCCCCCCCCCACCCGCCCTCCAGCACATCTCCGACTCCGATTAACACTGGGAAAAAAAGTTAAAACCACTTGCACACACACACACACACATGAGACACGCCGGAGTGTTATTAGGGTTAGGGCCGTGTAGTCCATACTAAAAACTTTCGCCAGTCACGTGACTCTCCACATCTCTCTGCACCTGCGTTGCGTGCAAGGGGGAGGGGGGGGGCAGGAGAGACGTACGTTTGGTTAATGTCTACGAATAGGCATTCTCTTTCAGTATTAACGAAATTATTGTTCTACATTTCATTAGATGCATGCGCTCGCCCCATGCGTGTGTCCATTGACATGCAACAACAAGGCATAACACACGGACATTTCTGTAGAAACCACATGCCGCGGTTAAATTACACAAAGCGCACACGAGCAGAAAGAAACGACACGGCAGGTACGCGATTGGCCACCGTTGCGGCTATTTGATTGGCCACCATTGCGGCTACGTGATTGGCCACCGTAACGGCTGCATGATTGCCCACCGTTTCGGCTACGTGATTGGTTACTCTTGAGGTGACATGATTGGCCATCGTTATGGCTACATGATTGGCCACTGTTGCGGCGACAGGATCGGCCACTGTTGCGACTACGTGATTGGCCATCGTCGCTGGTACGTGATTGGCCATCATTGCAGCTACATGATTGGCCATCGTTGCAGGCTACGTGATTAGCCATTGTTGCAGCTAAATGATTGGCCACCGTTTCGGCTACGTGATTGGCTACCGTTGCGGCCACGTGATTGGCTACAGTTGCGGCTACGTGATTGGCTACCGTTGTGACTATTTGATTGTTCATCGATGCAGGCCACGACATTGGCCACCGTTGCATTCATTGCAAACGTCTACAAAATAATTACCGTCTCGAAATATACAAGTTTCCGTTCCCTATTGCCAAGGCTGTTTCTTCACCAGCACTTGTCTTGCAAACCTTGCTCAAATCAATAAATATCAACTCCGATCTGTCCAGCCCTCAGTACCGCCGGTTAACGGCTGACCGCTCAGACGCTCTGGGGGACCTGTGCTCAGCAGCCGTGATTACAGAATAGAGAGCGTGACGCACAACCATCCGACACCATCCGGCGGGGGCGAGGGGGCGTTGCAGTGCGAATTTGTGAACGTTTCAAGCAGCCTACTCCCCCACGCGCGCCGGAGAAAAAACAACTTGAGAATGATTGGCGGGCGGTGCAACGCCCGCGGATAGAGAGCCATCGAACCACCTGCAGGGGAAAAAAAAAACACCACGTGGGATGAAACCTTCGTGCTTTTACCTGTCTGACGGATGGACGGACGGACAAACAGACGGCTTAATGGATTCACGGACAGACAAACGGATGGACGGACTGAAAGAGAGATTGACAGATGGATAGATTGATGGAGGGATTTATGGATGACGGATGGCTAAAATTATGGAGAGAGAGAGAGACGGACGGACGTGTGGACGGACGGACAAACAGATGGACGGACCAAAAAAGAGATAGATGTATAGATTGATGGATGGACAGAGAGACGGATGGATGGACGGACGGACGGATAGACAAAACAGATGGACGGACTGAAAAAGAGATAGGTGGATAGATTGATTGGCGGATGTACTGATGGATAGACAAGTGGACGGACGTACGGACGGACAGCTGACCCTACCTCTGGGTCGTCGGGGTCCTGGGACTGGGGCAACTCAACAGCGGCGACGGCGACAGCGGGGGCATCGCAGTCCGGGCTGTAGCGGTCGCAGTACTCCAACGCGGCGCGGTGGTCCGGGATGATCAGGAACTGCTGGATCTCACCCTGACGTGGTGAGAGACGCAGGGAGAGAGACACGGAAACGGAGAGGGGGCAGAGAGATGGAGGGAGAGAGTCGAGTCAAGTTTACTTTGTTTCAAACAGGTGACAAGTCAAGAGATCCCGGGGGGGGGGGGGGGTGGGGGGGGACAGGTGTCTTGGTTACAAGAGTGAGCGACTGAACCTGAGACACAGACATGACAACAAGCGCAAAAGGCAAATTGCGAGCGATGAAAACCTCGGGCTGAGCAGCTTCAACACAGATCGCGGTCCGAGTACCGGAAGGTTACAGGAAGCATCGTCCCGGTTAGCGGGTGACTGCGGGCACTTATCCTGCGTAACCGGACAAGGATACGCGGCGTCAAATGCAACTGTGTACTCCCCGAGAGCTCAGCATCGCAACCGTGGCTGAGATGGGAGAGGAACCGAGGAGATTTGCGGAGTGATGGGATTCCAGCTGCTTCGGGGGCATTCAGAGAATCCTGCCCAGTGGCTCTCCACTGGCCGTATGGGTCCCTGTGCGAGTTTACGTTTCACGGTGTGTGTCAATGAGTCTTTGTGTGAGTTTACAGGTCTCTGTGTGTGTGCCAATGGGCATCTGTGTGAGTGTATGGGTCTCTGTGCGTTTACAGTTCATGATGTGTGTCACTGGGTCTCTGTGATGGCTTGGTTTATGGGCCACTGTGTGAGTCTATGGCTCTCAGTGTGAGTCTATGGGTCTCAGTATGTCAATGGGTCTCTGTGTGAGTGTATGGGTCTCTGTGATTGTACAAGTCACTGTGTGTGTCAGTGGGTCTCTGTGTGAGTGTATGGGTCTCTGTGAGTGTACAGGTCAGTGTGCGTGTCAGTGGGTCTCTGTGTGAGTGTATGGGTCTCTGTGAGTGTACAGGTCACGGTGCGTGTCAGTGGGTCGCTGTGTGAGTGTATGGGTCTCTGTGAGTGTACAGGCCACTGTGTGTGTCAGTGAGTCTCTGTGTGAGTGTATGGGTCTCTGTGAGTTTACAGGTCAGTCTGTGTCAATGGATATCTGTGTGAATGTATGGGTCTCCGTGAATGTGTGTCTACAAGTGTCCGTGTGAGTCTATATGCGATGCTATGTCTTTCTGTGCCAGTCTATGTCTCTGTGTGTGTGTCAATGGGTCTCTGTGAGTCTATTTGAGTCATTGTGTGTGTGTGGGTCTGCGTGAGTCTACAGTAGGGGGCACAGGTGGTGCATCGGCCAGTCATCTCAGTCGACCCGTGGCACCTGGGCCTGCCCCGTGACCTCCTGTCGGCGGGCGTTCGACACTTCACGTGGCCTGAACTTGCACCTAGCCTGGCACAGGCGCCGTGGTGACGTCACCGCGGCTTAGTGGCGAATGGAGGTTGCTGTAGTGAGTCTGCGGCTGTCCACGTGAGTCCGTGTCCCTGTGTGTGTGTGTCAATGGTTCTGTGTGTGCGCAATCCTACGGCTGTCTACGTCTGTGCCCGTGCGTGTGTGTGTGTGTTCGTGTCAATGGGTCTCTTGTGTGCGAGTTTGCTGGATGAGCGATGGATTATTCCAGGTGCCGGGGACGTGAACACAAGAGCCAGGGAGAACGGCCGAGAGCGTTGTGAGCGACCTCGCGTCAATGTACTCTTGTGCTGCACGGCGTCTCTCGGTAGAGAGAGAGAGAGGGAGAGATGCCGAGGGTCTTGATCCCGAGTAAACACTTTGGATTGGCGAGCGGAGCTAGCCGTGCATGAATAAACACTCGAATGAATTATGAATCAACAACCGCGCATAGGTGAGGGGCTGAGACGGGGAGAGTGTAAGGGAGAGGGAGGGAGAGGGGGGAGAGGGGGTGGAGAGAGAAAGTGGGAGGGGGGCGGAGGGGGAGAGAGAGGGGGGCGCAGAGAGGGAGAGGGGCAGAGAGAGGGAGGAACTTTACACACAGACACGGAACTCCACACACGGAACTCCACAAACACACACAGACACGGAACTCCACGCACACACACACACGGAACTCCACACACAGACACACGGAACTCCACACACACACAGACACGGAACTCCACATACACACACACGGAACTCCACACAGACACACAGAACTCCACACACACACACAGAACTCCACACACGGACACACGGAACTCCACACACACACGGAAGGCCACACACACACACAGACACGGAACTCCACACACACACACACGGAACTCCACACACACACAGAACTCCACACACACACACAGAACTCCACACACGGACACACGGAACTCCACACACACACGGAACTCCACACACACACACACAGACACGGAACTCCACACACAGACACACGGAACTACACACACACACACGGAACTCCACACACACACACGGAACTCCACACACACACGGAACTCCACACACACGGACACGGAACTCCACACACAGACACACGGAACTCCAGACACACACACACGGAAGGCCACACACACACACACAGAACTCCACACACACACACACGGAACTCCACACACACACAGAACTCCACACACGGACACACGGAACTCCACACACACACACACACGGAACTCCACACACACAGACACGGAACTCCACACACACAGACACACGGAACTCCACACAGACACACAGAACTCCACACACACACAGACACGGAACTCCACACACACACACACGGAACTCCACACACACACACAGAACTCCACACATACACACACGGAACTCCACACACACACACAGACGGAAGGCCACACACACACAGACACACACGGGAGGAGGGGGGGGGGGACTTTTGCTGCACACAGCAAGCTTCGCCATCGCCCCCTAACGCACTTGGCAGGACCCTCCTGATGACAAGCGTCTTGGAGGAGGATTTTCCAGAGGGGGGGGGGGTGGGAAGGTCACAGCCCCCCCCCCCCGCCGCCGCCCCCCCCCCATCGTCCACACGGGACCCACGTTGCCGGCACGTGTTGCAGTGGGGGGGGGGGGGGGGGGGCTGGGTGCTTGGCAGTGGAAACTGCTCCTTGTTCGGCGGGGAACGGCGCCATGAGTTCTCGCTCGGCGCACGAAGTCCGCCGAGGAGTATAACACGGCACGCACACAAAGACAAAGATCCCCCGTATAGCCTCGGCAGGCTGCCTCGGGGCAAGTGCTGTTCGCAAGCACCACGCGCAGACGGTCATCTACACACCGCCTCTTCCTCCTCCTCCTCCTCCACACGCGCGCGCGCGCGCGGATATTCGTGTCGGCACCCCCCCCCCCCCCCCAAAGCCATCGCTCACATCGGAGGGAGGGAGGGGGAGGGAGGGAGGAAGGGAGGGGGGAGGGGGGGAGGTTGGAGGGAGGGGGGAGGGGGGGGGAGGAGGGAGGTTGGAGGGAGGGGAGGAGGGAGGTTGGAGGGAGGGGGGGAGGGAGGGAGGAAGAGGAGGGGGGGGAGGGAGGGGGGAGGGGAGGAGGGAGGTTGGAGGGAGGGAGGTGGGAGGGAGGGCGGAGGGAGGGGGGGGGGGGGGAGGAGGGAGGTTGGAGGGAGGGGGGGAAGGAGGAAGGTGGGAGGGGGGGAGGGGGGTGGGAAGGAGGGGAGGGAGGGGGGGAGGTTGGAGGGAGGGGGGGGAGGTGGGAGGGAGGGAGGGCTCTCTCTCCCCTCTTTTTTTAGATCAGAGGGAACGAGAAGATGCACGGTTTAGTCGGCATCTTTGCTTCTTTCATCATTTAGGTTTATTAGTTTTTTTACATTGCTTTGCTTTATGTGCTCCCCCCCTTTTTTAATGAAATGTTTTACGTATTTTCCCATTGTGAAACACAATAAAACTGTGCTACTTTCCTCGTAGACACAAACATCATGACGAAGAATCACGCTCTGCTCCTCCTCCTTACCCCTTCCCTATCTCTACCCCCTCTCTCTGTACCCCCTCTCTCTCTGTACCCCCTCTCTCTCTATCCCCTCTCTCTCTCTACCCCCTCTCTCTGTACCCCCTCTCTCTCTGTACCCCCTCTCTCTCTATCCCCTCTCTCTCTATCCCCTCTCTCTCTCTCTACCCCCTCTCTCTGTACCCCCTCTCTCTCTGTACCCCCTCTCTCTCTACCCCCTCTCTCTCTCTCTACCCCCTCTCTCTCTCTACCCCCTCTCTCTCTACCCCCTCTCTCTCTCTCTACCCCCTCTCTCTCTACCCCCATCTCTCTACCCTCTCTCTCTCTCTCTACCCCCTCTCTCTCTACCCCCTCTCTCTCTACCCCCTCTCTCTCTCTACCCCCTCTCTCTCTCTACCCCCTCTCTCTCTACCCCCTCTCTCTCTACCCCCCTGTCTCTCTACCCCCTCTCTCTCTACCCCCTCTCTCTCTCTCTACCCCCTCTCTCTCTACCCCATCTCTCTACCCTCTCTCTCTCTCTACCCCCTCTCTCTCTATCCCCTCTCTCTCTACCCCCTCTCTCTCTCTACCCCCCTCTCTCTCTCTACCCCCTCTCTCTCTACCCCCTCTCTCTCTACCCCCCTGTCTCTCTACCCCCCCTCTCTCTCTACCCCCTCTCTCTCTACCCCCTCTCTCTACCCCCTCTCTCTCTACCCCCTCTCTCTCTCTACCCCCTCTCTCTCTACCCCCTCTCTCTCTACCATCTCTCTCTCTACCATCTCTCTCTCTCTACCCCCCTCTCTCTCTACCCCCTCTCTCTCTACCCCCTCTCTCTCTCTACCCCCCTCTCTCTCTACCCCCTCTCTCTCGACCCCCTCTCTCTCTACCCCCTCTCTCTGTACCCCCTCTCTCTGTACCCCCTCTCTCTCTCTACACCCTCTCTCTCTACCCCTTCTCTCTCTGTACCTCCTCTCTCTCTACCCCCTCTCTCTCTCTACCCCCTCTCTCTCTCTACCCCCTCTCTCTCTACCCCCTCTACCCCCTCTCTCTCTACCCCCTCTCTCTCTCTACCCCCTCTCTCTCTACCCCCCCCCCTCTCTCTCTACCCCCTCTCTCTCTACCCCCTCTGTTATTTGTGTTTGCTGTTGACTTTCTGTATTTCGTATCGAAATAGCCTCCAATGATGTTGCTGCTGCTGGCGGCAATAAAGGTTGTTTAAATGTCAAAAAGTATCTCTCCCTCTCTCGGGTCTCTCGCTCCCCCTCGCTCTCCCTCCCTCGCTCGGGGTGGCAGGGATACCCCCTTTCTGGGCACGCGGAATGTAAACACCGCCCCTGTTCTGGGCCGCCAACGATCCTCCTCCTCCTCCTCCACTCGCCCGGCAACTTCATCGCTCCGTCGCACGGATCCAGGTTGCAAAAATGCCCCCGACGGACGCGGAAACTCCCGCAAAAGGCGCTCGAAGACAGAGATACG